GCCTCCGGGCGGAGCCCCCCACCTTGCGCTTGCGGGCCTCGGCGGTGCCGCTCCACACGAAGCACTGGTAGATGGCGCGCAGGTTCTGCTTCCAGTTGTCCACCTTGAAGCTGCTCAAGTGCGAGCAGCCGGGCGGCGCCACGGCCAGCTCCGCGTCCATGGCCTCGCCCTCCACCTCCACCCGGGTGGCCGTAGGGGGCAGGGCCCGGCCGCGAGCGGGCGGCGGCGGCGAGGACGTGGACGACGCCAGGGCGGCGCCGGGCCGAGCGGGGAACAAAGGCTGAGGCACCGCACGACCGCCGGCCTCGGGGTCTGCAGGGGTCTGGGCGGCGCCGGGGAGATTACCGCATACCTCGCCCTCCTCACTGCGCAGGCGCCCCTTCACGCCGTAAGGCCCGCCCCTCGGAGGAGTGGGCGGGGAAAGCGGTGCCGGCGAGGGCGTACGCTCAGGCCAACACCATTGGCAGTCTGGCCAGCATGTGGCCCCGCCCAGCACTGCCATTGGCTGACGTTGCAGTCCGTCTGCCTCGGAGCTTCCGCTGGGGCCCGCGCTGCTTCTGACATGCGCGAGGAGCATGATGTGGATTGGGTGGCGCCAGATGTCTGTCAAGGCTCTGAACCGGTTTGCACCGGCTTGAGCTTTGCCGCAAAGAGGCGGAGCGACGCGCCTGGGTGGTGCAAAGCCCTCCGTCTTGCAAACTGCTTCCTGCACCTTTGTCCTGAGCACCCAGCCTGCCTTGCGTTTCCTGAGTCACAGGCAATGCTTTTGCCAGTAAGAATTCTTCAGATGAGTTTTCTGCAGGACTTTTTAATCTTTGCAGCCTGTGGCAGCAATCGCAGATCCCTAGCTTTGGGTTAGAGATGTCGGCTGCAGGCGGTTTGTGGCTCTCCGGCACAAGTGTGACTTGAGTCGCAGATCTAAAATTGTGAATGCTCTCCCAAAATAAACTCACTGCCAACCATCGAGTTGATTCCGACTCAGAGCGCCCCAATCTCGTCCAGGATAGAACTGTCCCTGTGGGTTTCAGAGACTACACGGGAGTAGAAAGACCGGCTTTCTCACGCGGATTGGCTGGTGGTTTGGAAATAATGACCTTACCTATGCCACGAGGGCTCCTTTTGTGACTATCCTAAAGTTGTATATATATATTTTTAATCAAAAGCTCAGAGCCAAAAAGGAAACACAGCTTAACTGGCCATCAACAAATGAATGGATAAGTGAAATGTGATATATGTATACTGTGCTCCAAATTAAAACATGCTTTTGTTGTTAGATGCCTTGAGTCAGTTATGACCCATAGGGACCGTACGTACAACAGAACAGAACACAGCAAGGTCCTGCACCATCCTCACAATTGTTTCCATGCCCAAGCCCATTGTTGCAGCCACTGTGTCAATCCACCTCTTTGAGGGCTTACCACTCCTTCCTGCCCCTCTGCCTTACCAAAGATAATGTCCTCCAGGGACTGGTCTCTCCTGACAACAGCTCCAATGTATGTAAAACAAGTATGGCCATCCTTGCCCCTAAGGAGCACTCTGGCTGTACTTCTTCCAAGACAGATGTGTTTGTCTTTTTAGCAGTCCGTGGTGGTTTTAATATTCTTCTCCAGCACAGTTCAAATACACCGATTCTTCCGGCTTCCTTGTTCAGTTCCCAACTTGCTTCGCAGTGGGGAGCACAGTCCTTCATCATTGTCTGTATTTAATCTGGAAGTTCTGCTGAAACATGTTCACTTTGGGTGACCTTTCTGCCCTTTGAAATACCAGGGACACAGCTCCCAGCATCACAGCAACACACAAGCCACCGCAGTACAGAAACGACAGACACACAGTGGAACATTTGCTATAGACTCTTATTTAGCTTTAAACAGGACAAAGACAACGTGAAAACAACACCCTTGAATGAGGGGCATCATCAGCATGTACAGACACTGACATGAAGACTCCTGATTTATGATCAGAGGGCTAATTAAAAACAAAATCAAACCCACTGCTAGGAGTTGATTCCAATTCATAGTGCCCCTGAGTAGGGTTTTCTATACTGTAACTCTTTGCAGGAACAAATAACCTCATCTACAGAGCAGCTAATGGGTCTGAACTAGCCCACCTTGCAAATAACAGTGCTCCTTGGAGGCAAGGATGGAGAGATTTTGTCTTAGATACTTTGGACGTATTGCCAGGAGAGGACAGCCCCATGTTTGCTAGGGTCGAGGGGCAGTGAAGGAGCAGAAGGCCCGCGAGGAGATGGATTGATCCCGGGCCTGCAAGAATAGGCTCACGAATAGGAGCAATGGTGAGGATGGTGCAGGATCAAGCAGTGCTTTATTCTGTTGGGCATAGGATCACTCTGGGTCAGAACCGATTCAGCACCTAAAGAAAACAACATCAGCTGTGTCCTGACTACACTGTAATCTTGTAAGCTTGTCTAACTATGTATATGTCCCAATCATGGCCCTAATTCCTGCTTCTGCAGTCCCATTTATGACTGTGATGGATTGAGCTGCCACCAATCTTCATTGTGTGACAACTTCATTCGTTCCATGCCTTAGTTAACTGGTGTCCTGACTTTTGTCGAGGGGGGGGCGGGGAATCACAATGATTACAATAGTGGGGTGAAAACAAAATTTTATTCAGCATATGCATCAAAGAGAGATGGGAAATGAACTGACATCAAGGCTATGCCTGACAGAATTTGAAACCCCAGACAAGATTTGTGCTATTTATATAGATTTGATACTTGTTTCTTCTTACACAGTCTGAGCCAAACATAAACAGTAACTTCTGCAAAACTTTTGTTAGGTTTCTGGGGTGGTAGGCCTTAGTTCTTGCTTCTCAATGCTGAATTCATGCAGCAGAAGCACCTTTGTAAATCCAAGTAACTTCTATGAGGGAAAGGGAAGTTTCAGGTATTACAGTCTCAGTACATGATATATCTGGAAAGTGTGCAAGGCTGCATGGAAAGTTCGAGACGGAAAATGGCCATGCAAGGGAGCTCAGAAAAACACGTGGAAGGAATACACTAACAAGAGCGCAGAACCAGCGTGTGGAGCAAGAGCAGGAATCAAGCGCAGGAAATCTGCTGTACATGGGCGGAATCTCACCCTCCGACTTGCAAGAGCACAACCTCACAAGAGAAGACCCTGCCCTGCCCGCAGCCTGGTTTCATCTCCTACCCCCACTGGCTGGGGAGGCATGGTTGGGGGTATTGGCTGATCTTATTGGCTGAGTTTAGGAGTACCTGTGTGATGTCATGTCGCTAGTGCCTAGTCTGTGTGCCCAGGTGGACCTCCCACCTGGGCCTAGGTGACTTGCGTCTGAGCATGCTCAGTTCTGGATGTTCCCATAGGTGTCTAATTAGTGTGCCTGATTTCTTTCCAACCTCTTTATTGTGGCATGGACAGCTAATTTCCGTTTAGTGTGGGCATTCCGTGGAGACAGCCCCTTTATCCCTAATCTGGCTATCTTTCATTTTATCAAAGGCTTTTTTTAATGATCAAGACAGTCAGGAGGAGTCTTTTGTTGATCCATTAGGCCAGAGTTGGGGAGGGTGAAGCAGATGGCTCTCTGCTATTTGCCTATCTTGTCTTCAGGGGCACTTCCTTATGTCTACCTTTACCTTTGTGTGTGTTCCTTTTTCACCTGTCCATTCTTGACTGTTCTAATGTACGGTTCTGCCTCCATCTATCTTTCCCTATGTTACCTGTGCCTCCTTGCCCTCCAGGGCTACCAAGGAGATTGCTGGGGGCTACTGTCCTTTCCTGCCTCCTTAGACATCACTTTGGTAGCTTGGTGGTCAGAAAGTGAATGGGGGTGGGGGCAGGGGGACTTCAGATAGCATTTTGACTAATTTTAAGGCTTAGGATGAAATCAGGGCTCTGTCAGGGGTGCCTTTGCCTTTAGGCACTAACTCACTTTGACTCCTTAGATGCCATTATGACCTTATGCTAATGGCTTCCCTCGTCCAGATGATGGGTGTCTTTGTCTCTTAAGACTCAATAAAAGGTCTCCCTAAATTATATTTGAGATTGAGGTCTCTCTTCTACCCTAAAGTACCAATCATACCAGGGTTTAGATCTGATAGGTAAGGCTGTGACCCTTCTCTGGTTCAGTTTAAAATTGATTGATTATTATTCCCCCCCCCTTTATTTGTAGAGTATAGCATATACAAAGGAAAACATGTATCAGTCACACAGCCATTGCATGAGGAAAGTGACAGTATCCCAGCAAACAACCCCTGCCTCCCACACCCTTATACGTGACTGTTTCTACTCCCCACCCCCAGTCTCCCCACTTCCCATCCTCCCCTTCACCTTCCCCTCCCCCTTCCCCTTCCCCTGGCCTCATTAGTGTGCTGTCTTTTCCTGTTGTGTGGAAAACCACTTTTTCCCTGTGTTTTCCTTTATCATGATGGTGTCAAGAAATATTTATTTTTATGAGATTGACTAATTTTGCTGAGCATAGTGTCTTCCAACTTTGTCTTTATCGTGAGGTGTTGGGCAGTCCAATCTCTCCACATTCTTTGCAGCATTTGGTACTTTCTGTTCTCTTAACAATTTTGCTAGGAGTGTTGGTGTAAGGTGGTATCTCGTTTTAACATGTATTTCTCTTATAGTTAATGATCATGAGCATTTTTTCATATGATTATTGACTGCTTGAATGTGATCTTTAGTAAATTGTCTGTTCATGTCTCGTACCCATTTTTAATAAATAGTTTAGGCTGGTAAGCCTCAATAGGAGCTTTCTGCAGGTTTGAAAACATTTACCAATTTTATGTAATTCTAAGTGCCTCCAGGGACTAAAAGTAATATGGGGAAGATCCTCAATATCAGCACTGGGTTGAATTTTAAATGGCATTTCAAGAATAGGCATAATTTTCTTTCTTTTTAAAAAAAGTTTTATTGGCATTTCAAACACATATCATATAATTCAATAGTTCTATCATATCAAGAAGAGTTGTACAATCATTACTACAATCAATTTTAGAACATTTTCTTTTTCCTGGTACTCAGTGTTATTCGTGTAATTATTTTTTTAATTGTGACCAAAATACACGCAACAAGATATTCTCCAATTCAATAACTTTTACATGTATAGTCAGTGATTAACTCTTTGTGTCATACAACCATTATTGATATCCTTTTCCAAATATTCCGCCACCATTCACATAAACTCAATGCCCCATAAGCAAAATCTCTTCCTCCTTCGCCCATGGGAACCAAAGGTCCAGTTTGGTTGTTTTTCTTTTACTAATTTTTTTTCAATTGTATAGTATTCACTTCCAAAGTTAAATCGATTTTTAAAGAGGT